TCAACTTGAAACACCGGGATCGTTTGACTTTTCCTGAAGCGAGACGCCAAGTCCGCCATCTCCACCCTTTCACTGGCTTATCGTATGCTCGCGTGTTGCATTTTACTTCTCCTCGTCCTTCCCTCCTTCCTCAGTCCCGCAACCGTTTCCAGGTCTTGGACCCAGACACGCCCACCACCTCTTCCCCACGTTCCTTAATGTTCTGTCCCAGAAGGTCTTCCTTCTCATTCTCCTTCTATAATTTACCCCCTCCCAACCCTGTCCGTAATGTCTCCTGTGTCTTATTCTCCTTCTCCCTGGTCGGAGCCGGTCGGCCGAGCGGACAGCACGCTGGACTTGTGATCCTGGGTTCGATCCCAGGTGCCGGCGAGAAATAATGGGCAGAGTTTCTTTCACCCTATGCCCCTGTTACCTAGCAGTAAAATAGGTACCTGGGTGTTAGCCAGCTGTCATAGGCTGCTTCCTGGGGGTGGAGGCCTGGTCGAGGACCGGACCGCGGGGGACACTAAAAAGCCCCAAAATCATCTCAAGATAACCTCCCCCTGATCATTCTTCCAGACCCTCCCCACAGTCTCTTGGCCCTCCATGCCAACTGTCTGTCCAGGCAGATGTCTATCATCCTCCCAGCAATCTTCATGTTGTTCTCTCCCGTTCTTCTCCTGCTGAGACCATTCAGTCTATCGCCCATTATGTTGTTGCTGGAACACCTCTCTCTTAGTCAGAAACGTAAACCTGGCTCCTCTACTTCCTCCTCCCAAGCGGGTAAGAAGGCATCACTTTCTTCCTCGCCCCCCAACTCTGACTCTATCGCTATGTTCTCTCCCATTTCGGTGGTCTGGCCCAGCTATGGAGGTTTCTTTCGCCCCCGATTCCCTCTCGGTTGCTACCCTCGCTGAGGTGCGCTCCCCGGTTTCTGCCCCACCTCCTCCTGTCATCAACAGCCCCTCTCGTTTCTCTCTCCCTCCTCCGGACCCTGTCCGTCTGCCTCTGGTCTGTCCTCCCGCTCTCTTCCCTCCATCCTTTCTTCCCACCCATGCCCCCTAACCCTGATCCTGAGCTTTTTAATGTACTATGTTCTTTTTTACCTTTGTTTCTTCATTGTTTTCCGTTGCTGTAGTTTCTCTTTTAGATAATGTCTATTCTTCAATGGAATATTCGTGAATTTTATGCCAACTTCCATGAACTCTAACTCCTGATTACACAGTTTTCACCACTTTGTGTTGGTCTCCAGGAACTGATGCTTGGTGCTCGTCATGGTCGCTTTCGTGGTTATTCCTTTCTTTCTCCCCCCCCCCCCCCCCCAGCTCTTGCTGGGGCCCATAACTCTACTGCTCTCTTGATTCGTACTGATATGCCCTTCTTTTCTCTACTGTTTCCATCGCCTATCCATTGTTCTGCTGCTCGTGTTTTTGAGAGTAAATGGTATACAGTCTGTTCCATTTATCTCCCCCTCCCAAATGTCCCGCTTTTCCTTCCTGATCTCAAGCACCTCCTGGACTCCTTGCCAGAACTAGTGCTCCTGTTGGGTGCTTTCAACTGTCAACATACCCTCTGGGGTGATGTGCTGACAAACACCCATGGCCGCCTTCTCGAACAGTTTATCCTCTCTTCTTCCCTGTTTCTTCTGAATTCTGGAGAGCTCATCCATGTGGACTCTCGAACATGCACCCTTTCCTGTCTTGATCTTTCTCTCTGCTCGTCGTCCCGTTAATTAGATCTCATGTAGCTTGTTCTTGATGACCTCCATAAGTGACCATTTCCCCATCCTTGTTACCTTTTTCTCTTTTCACCCTCCCCGTTGTTTCCCTAGGTAGCAATTTGCCAAAGCTGACTGGAACCTATTCACCCTCCGTACTACTCTCTCTGACTTCTCCTCTCTGCCTCTTCTTTGTGCCCTCCACCTTTCTCATGACACCGTCTTCGATGCAGCCCTCTGCATTATTCCTGGCTCTAAATCCTGGAGTACGCGAAAGTGTGTTCCCTGGTGGAATGTGGACTGTGCTCGAGCTGTCTGCTGTATGTGTGAAGCCTTGAAGAAACACTGCCGCTGGCAGATGGCCGATTCTTTTATTTTGTTTTGGAAAGCAAGTGCGGTGGCCCGTAGGACTATCCATACAGCTGAGCGTGAGAGTTGGAAATGTTATGTTTCCACCATTACATACGATACTCCTCTGCCACAGATCTGGAAGAAGATCCACAAGATTGAAGGCAAGTTCGTTCCAGATGTCTCGCCGGTTCTTCACCTCCGAGGTTCTCTTGTGGCGGACCCAGTGCAGGTTGTGACCAAACTGGGTTCCCACTTTTCTTCTGTTAGCTCTGGTTCTCATCTTCCTTAATCCTTCCTTCCTTCATGAGCCCGTTCTTGAACCCCATCCATTAGATTTCCACACTCATCTCCGCCTTCCCTATAACGATCCCTTCTCTCTCTCTGAACTTCAGTCTGCCTTGGACCTCTGCAGTTCTAGGGCAGCGGGCTTGGGTGTCATTCATTATGAGATGCTTCGCCATCACCCTCCTTGCATGTCTAGGTATTTACTGAGTCTGTATAATCAGGTCTGGGGAGTCGTCGTCAGTCCCTGAGGACTAGCTGGATGCCGTTGTGGTTCCTATTCGGAAAACGGGGTCTCTCGGGACTTCCCCTAAGGATTTCCGCCCTATTGCCCTCACGAGTTGGCTGCAAACTCTTTGAGCGTATGGTAAATGTTCGTCTGATGTGGTTCTTGGCACACCATCACCACCTCTCTCCTTCTTAATTTGGTTTTCGCAAGTGCCGTAGCACGACTGATGTCCTGGTGAACTTGGAAGTCTTTATTCCTATTGCTTTTGCTGCAAAGACCTCAGTCGTTGCTGTCCTTTTTGACCTGGAAAAGGCTTATGACACAACCTGGAGATGCCATATTCTGTCCCAACATTGTTCTTTTGGCCTTCGTAGTAATCTCCCTCTCTTCCTCCAAAACTTCCTCTCTCGTCGTTTCTTTCGAGTCAGGCTTGGTTCCACTCTCTCTGCCTCTTTTCGGCAATACGTAGGTGTGCCCCAGGGTAGTGTTCTGAGCATTACTCTTTTCCTGGTTGCCCTCAATGGTCTTCTTTCCTCCCTTCCTTCTGGCATCTTCTCTCCTCTTTATGTCGACTATCTTACTCTTTCCTGTCAAGGTGATGATTCGTCTCTCCTTCAACGGGGGGCTTCAACTTGCGATTGATGCCGTGTCGTCTTGGGCTATTGATCATGGCTAGCCGGTTCTCTGCAACTAACACTTGTGCGATGACTTATACTCGAAAGCTTGTCGTCCTTTGTCGACGCTTTATGATCATCCCTTTTGTACAAAGATTTGGCGAAGCTTTTGGGGTTAATCTTTGACACTCATTTGTCTTGGTCGCCCAATATCTCTTACCTCTGTGTTGAATGCTCTAAGGTCCTTAACATACTAAGGGTTCTGTCACATACTTCTTGGAGAGCGGATAGGTGCACGCCCCTCTCATTGCATTCCTCTCCTACTGTCTAATCTCGATTATGGTTGCCCTGCTTACTCTTCTGCTTCTCCTTCTACTCTTCGCTATCATGATCCTCTGCATCATACTGGGTTGCACCTCAGCTCTGGTGCTTTTCGTTCGACTCCTGCCCTCAGCTTGTACGTTGACACTGGATTCCTGTCTCTCCAAGACCGCCGGGATCGCTACTGTCGTTGCTACCTTGAATGGTCCTAACAACACACTCACTCTTGCCTGTGTCGTGCTTTGACTTTTCCCCCCTCCTCTAGTTCCTGTTCCCCTTCACCACCACCCTCTTTGTCAGGTTGTCTCGCCTGCAACATTCTTTTTCGGTTAGTATTACTAATATTTCTCCTCGTGTTGTACTGTTCTTGCCTCTGTGAAGGGTCCCCCTTCCTCAATATCGCAAATCCCTGACCCACATCACCAAAGATTTTACCCCTCCTAAAGTTCTGAAACGCGTTTTCCTTGAACACATTTCTTAACATTCCCGCTCAGTTTCCATCTTCACTGATAGGTCTAAGTCTGCAGACGGTGTAGACTACTGTTGTTTTTCCTGACCACACCAATAGTGTCGCCTGCCTTCAGAGACTTGGCATCTTCACAGCAGAACTTTATGCTATTCTCTATGTTCTTCGTCGCCTGCTTTCTTGCTGTCAAACCAACTTTGTGGTTGTAGTCGACTCTCGCAGTGCCCTCATGGCCCTGGAGTCCTTTAGTCCAGTCCATCCGGTGATTGTCGAGATTCAACATTGGCTGTTTCTTATCTCCAGTAGATTTGAGACAATTGAGTTTTGCTGGATTCCCAGCCATATTGGTCCCTCTTTAAATGAGCATGCAGACGCTGCCACTAAGGAAGCTATCCTCACTTGTCCCATCTCCCGTAAAGGTATTCCTTATTCCGACCTTTATCCTGTTATTCATTCCTCCATCCTTGCCCGTTGGCAAGGTTGTTGGTCGTTTGTTACTGGTAACAAACTGCGTACTCTTAAGGGTAGCGTGTCCCTGTGTCCGTCCTTCTACCACCTTAACCGGCGATGGGAAACAGCTCTGGCAGGGCTGTGTATTGGCCATACACACTTAACTCACGGACACTTAATAGAGCGCTGCCCTGCTCCATATTGTCCTAACTGCATTGTCCCTCTTACAGTTGTGCATATCCGTGTCGAATGTCCTGACTTCCAGGACGAGCGTATGTCTTGCTTTCCGACTGTCGCCTGCGGTCACTTTTCCCTCGATAGAATTCTTGGTGAATCTGATGCTTTTGATATCATTCGCCTAATGCGTTTCTGTTCTCATATTGGCATCCTCAGTGATATTTACCGCCCTCTGATTATTCCACACATTTGATGATGCTACAAAGTCTCTTGACTTGGTGCCTTCTTTGATAATTACATGCTTGATTTAACGTGGACACAGTATATATAGGTTTCTTTGTATTAGTGTACATATTGCTTTTATCTAGTCACTTCTTTCATTTACCTATTTTCCTTTATTTTCGTTGGTGTTAGGTACGGGGATTGCTACCAGGCCACGCTCCGGGACCTGCACGACGGCTGCTCTGACCTCACCGATGAGGTAATCAATTGGCGTAGGGACCAGGGCCAGCGCCAGCCTGTCATAGGCACCAGGGCCAGTGTAAGCCTGGCATAGGCACCAGGGCCTGCACCAGCCTGGCGTAGGCACCATGGCCTGCATCAGCCTGTCATAGGCACTATGGCCCACACCAGCCCGGTGTAGGCCTTGCATTTCATTAACATTTTTTATTGCAAAAAAAAATAAGTTCAATGCTTGGTTTAAAACTACTTCCTAGGTAATTTTGCTAATGGACAAAAAATGTAATATATGGGTAATATAGCCATGCATGATGTAGGTTCCAAATGTTGAATCCTTTGACTTGACATGATGGCTGTTGCCTCAGGTGCAGAGTCGTCTGGCGTTGGCCTTCACCAACTGCTACGTGGCCAGGTTCGGGTGGGCGGTGTATCCGTGTGGCCCTAAGCAGCCCCTGGCTGCCTGCATGCGCCACCTGGATTCTCGTGCTGCCTCGGTTTACTCGGCCATGCTATCCAACACCCTGGCCATGTGTCACTTCCTGCAAGCCCAGGCTTGGCACAGTGCCACCACACACGCTGTACACAGGTCAGCTTCTGCTCTAGTTTCAAAATTCTGAAGTGTTATCATCCCATCAGGCAACCTAACTACAACTTTTTACGATTTGAATGTTTTTACAACGTTTATTAAAGTTTTATTTTGGTTGAAATTGTTTAGTTGTTTGCTTGTTTAGCAGACGCCACGGTAACAATACCTTTAATCACTAACTGGTGCTCTTCCTATAGCCTGCAGGAGGCATCAGAGAAAGTGAGCTCGCAGCTGTCGCAGGCTGTGGACTCCGCTGCGGCCCTCACGCTGCAGATGGACACCCAGATCACGGAGTCCCGCCAGGCCCTCAAGCACGCATTCTTGGAGATAAGGTCAAAACTGCTTTTATCACTCATAGGACTTGTATGATTTAGGATAATGCAGGAAAGTATGTTATAATAATGGGTTCCAGGGATTCTTTTTTTTTTTAACTATTATGCTGCATCATATCCTGTGAGTGTTAATGAAAGTGGACACAAATATTGGTGAAGGGTATGAACCCCTTCACATGGTGCTTGTATAGGAGAAATGGGGTGATTGTGCACACGGGCAGGGAAAAGGGGTGTTTGTGCTCATGTGCATGATAACGGGGTGTGCTTGTGCATATGTGATGGGGAAGAAGTGTGCTTGTGCACATTGGCATAGAAAGGGGTGCTTGTGTATACATGCGTAGGGGAAGGGGGTTGTGTGTGCACATGTGCAGGGGAAGGGGGTTGCTTGTGAACATGTGCAGGGGAAGGGGGTTGCTTGTGAACATGTGCATGGGAAGGGGGGTGCTTGTGTACACGTGCAGGGGAAGGGGGTTGTGTGTGCCCATGTGCAGGAGAAGGGGGTTGCTTGTGCCCATGTGCAGGGGAAGGGGGTTGCTTGTGCACATGTGCAGGGGAAGGGGATTACTTGTGCACATGCGCAGGGGAAGGGGGTTGCTTGTGCACATGTGCAGGGGAAGGGGGTTGCTTGTACACATGTGCAGGGGAAGGGGGTTGCTTGTACACATGTGCAGGGGATGGGGGTTGCTTATGCACATGTGCAGGGGAAGGGGGTTGCTTGTGCACATGTGCAGGGGATGGGGATGTGCTAGTGCACAAGTGCACGTGAGGGGGAGGGTTTGCCAATGTGCTTGTGCTATGCTACCACTCTGAATCTGGTTGTCTACTCACAGGGAGTCTACGGCCGAGCAGAGAGGGCTGATCATCGACGTGTTCGACCGTGTGGCCGAGCTCCAGAGCCTCCTGATGGGCGAGTTCTCCTGGTTTTATGCCGTTCGTATCAGTCTCTTTATACTGTTATTAATTCTTATTGGTGGTGGAGGATGTGGCTGGCAAGACCTTGGTCGCGGGTTCGCGCCGCCTCACAGCCCTGGTGGATTTTCTCAGTCTTTAATGTTGTGTACTTTCTATCATATTAACTGTAAATAATGAAAGTGTGTACACAATCTACACAAGGATATACAAAGCTTATTATACACAAGTCTAAAAATTAGCCTGATTTCAGCACTGTGACAACTTCATTATTTATGTTGTACTAGAAAATATTTGGTAGAAGTGATGATGGAATATCTAAGGTAAATAGGAGGGGGAGGGGACCTTTTGATAAGCCGGCGGCATCCTGTTTTCGTCGAGGCCACTAGAGTTAGTGGCCTCTCGGGTAAATCTCTCTCGGGTCCCGATATTGGCATGCGGTTGGGCCAATAGCCTGCCCGAAGGATATTGCCCTCTCCGCCCGAAGGAAGGAACAACTATGTTCTCCCCCAAGAATGAAGGAACAACTATGTTCTCCCCCAAGAATGAAGGATTTATCAAGGGAAAGCGCCAAGCCATTACGACTATATAGCCCTGGGATGGGGTCAGTATAAGGATTTGGGATTTAACGGGTTAAGAAATTTCTTTGTAATTTACTTAACGGTATCTACCGGAGGAGTGAGATCTTAGCTCCTCATCCTGCCTACAAGCCTTGCACATTTTGTTTCAATTTAACAATAACTAAAAAAATTTCTTGCGATCCTTTAGCTCATTTCAGTTTCTAGCTTCCATTGTCGGAAATATTTACCTGTGGGATCTGTGTTTATTTAATTTTTTATTATTAAAGTAATTATATTTTATTTACTATTTAATTATTTCTTTAGAGAGTGGACTGTACAGATTTGATTTATCCCACCAATAAAAATCCATCACAAACTTGGGGAGTTTTATGATTTCAACTACGCAAGATTTTACCTATTACTTGCTTGTATTGATAATACTAAATTTAAATGTTATATAAATCTACCAATTATTATTGCAATTATTTAAAATACACCACACCTTAGCTATTATAGTAGTAGACGTTCTAGATGGCCAGGTCGGACAAGACTGTTACGTGGTTTAGCGTCTCTAGCGAGCAGGATCAGAAAATATTGTCATGGGGGTTTAGCGTCTCTAGTGAGCATGATCGGACAATATTGTCCTGTGGTCTAGCATCTATAGTGAGCAGGATTGGTCAAGATTGTCCACAATGATAACCTCTAGACGTCTTGGTTTACCTGCCAACGAAATACACCGTAAAATTTACTACATTCAGTGTATTCATATTATCAATGGAATGATCAGTAATCACATTTGGTATAAAGATATCAAATATTCTGACCAATATTTTGGTCAGAATATTTTTATTCATGTTTTGAAAATATAACACAACATCAAAGACACTTGGGATCTAGCGTGTAGAAATGTGATTTTTCTTAAATTTTCGCGAAATAACGGCAAAGTTAAACAGTGAGTTCTGGACCAATCACATTCTCCTCGTTGAGTTCCACGATGGCCGGCCCCTCTCTCACCTGGCGGAGATCTCGTTCCCAGATGCGTTACTGGTGTTTTTAGAGTAAAATTAATCAATATTTTGGGTTAGTTACTGAACGACGTAGCAATAATATTACTCGTATTCAAGAGCAAATTTGTCACGTTAAAATTATCATTCTTTTATGACAAAGATAATTTAATTAGTTTAATTAATAAAATAACAGCAGCAATTTATTATTGCATGTTGTAGTAAGGAATTTATGGGTGATGTGGGAAGTTTCCTACATCCATCTGTGTCCTCTTGAACTGCTTTTTCTCAATCTGAAGAGGTTACCTTTGTCCACCTTATCGATTCCCCTCAGTATCTTAAGGTATCTTGTATGATGTGATCAAATCCTCTGTTCCTACTATTTTCTAGGGGTTAAGATTACTTCATTAGCCAATTTTGGTATCTAAGCCCTCTTAACTCTGGCTCCAATCTTGTTGCAAACCATTGTACTTTTTCAGCTTTAAAGGCATGGAAAGCTTTATGCTTTCTATACCGGTGCTGGATATTTCAGTAATAGTCCATAAAATGTTGTGTAGATTGCCTTGAAGGAGTCCTGATACTTTGGCATTGCCACACATGCTGTCGATGTTATCCTGTTTATGTACGGAAATTTTTCCACCAAGAGGCTGTGCGTGTTAGTAGCTTTGCAGGAACACCGATATTAAGTACTCTCACAACCTGATGCACCTTCTTATACATAAATAAGTTAGTGTTCCTCCGGTGTAAGTGTGTGAATTATATCCACTCCCAGATTTTTCACTCCGATTCTTGTAGCTGCCTTTCCCGTATGGTGGAGCTGCCTACCCCCGTATGGTGGAGCTGCCTACCCCCGTATGGTGGAGCTGCCTACCCCCGTATGGTGGAGCTGCCTACCCCCGTATGGTGGAGCTGCCTACCCCCGTATGGTGGAGCTGCCTACCCCCGTATGGTGGAGCTGCCTACCCCCGTATGGTGGAGCTGCCTACCCCCGTATGGTGGAGCTGCCTACCCCCGTATGGTGGTGCTGCCTTCCCCCGTATGGTGGAGCTGCCTAACCCCGTATGGTGGAGCTTCCTACCCCCGTATGGTGGAGCTGCCTACCCCCGTATGGTGTAGCTGCCTACCCCGTATGGTGGAGCTGCCTACCCCCGTATGGTGGAGCTGCCTACCCCCGTATGGTGGAGCTGCCTACCCCCGTATGGTGGAGCTGCCTACCCCCGTATGGTGGAGCTGCCTACCCCCGTATGGTGGAGCTGCCTACCCCCGTATGGTGGAGCTGCCTACCCCCGTATGGTGGAGCTGCCTACCCCCGTATGGTGGAGCTGCCTACCCCCGTATGGTGGAGCTGCCTACCCCCGTATGGTGGAGCTGCCTACCCCCGTATGGTGGAGCTGCCTACCCCCGTATGGTGGAGCTGCCTACCCCCGTATGGTGGAGCTGCCTACCCCCGTATGGTGGAGCTGCCTACCCCCGTATGGTGGAGCTGCCTACCCCCGTATGGTGGAGCTGCCTACCCCCGTATGGTGGAGCTGCCTACCCCCGTATGGTGGAGCTGCCTACCCCCGTATGGTGGAGCTGCCTACCCCCGTATGGTGGAGCTGCCTACCCCCGTATGGTGGAGCTGCCTACCCCCGTATGGTGGAGCTGCCTACCCCCGTATGGTGGAGCTGCCTACCCCCGTATGGTGGAGCTGCCAACCCCCGTATGGTGGAGCTGCCTACCCCCGTATGGTGGAGCTGCCTACCCCCGTATGGTGGAGCTGCCTACCCCCGTATGGTGGAGCTGCCTACCCCCGTATGGTGGAGCTGCCTACCCCCGTATGGTGGAGCTGCCTACCCCCGTATGGTGGAGCTGCCTACCCCCGTATGGTGGAGCTGCCTACCCCCGTATGGTGGAGCTGCCTACCCCCGTATGGTGGAGCTGCCTACCCCCGTATGGTGGAGCTGCCTACCCCCGTATGGTGGAGCTGCCTACCCCCGTATGGTGGAGCTGCCTACCCCCGTATGGTGGAGCTGCCTACCCCCGTATGGTGGAGCTGCCTACCCCCGTATGGTGGAGCTGCCTACCCCCGTATGGTGGAGCTGCCTACCCCCGTATGGTGGAGCTGCCTACCCCCGTATGGTGGAGCTGCCTACCCCCGTATGGTGGAGCTGCCTACCCCCGTATGGTGGAGCTGCCTACCCCCGTATGGTGGAGCTGCCTACCCCCGTATGGTGGAGCTGCCTACTCCCGTATGGTGGAGCTGCCTACCCCCGTATGGTAAAGCCGCCTACCCCCGTATGGTAAAGCCGCCTACCCCCGTATGGTGGAGCCGCCTTCCCCCGTATGGAGCCGCCTTCCCCCGGATGGTGGAGCCGCCTTCCCCCGTATGGTGGAGCCGCCTTCCCCGTATGGTGGTGCCGCCTTCCCCCGTATGGTGGAGCCGCCTTCCCCCGTATGGTGGAGCCGCCTTCCCCCGTATGGTGGAGCCGCCTTCCCCCGTATGGTGGAGCCGCCTTCCCCCGTATGGTGGAGCCGCCTTCCCCCGTATGGTGGAGCCGCCTTCCCCCGTATGGTGGAGCCGCCTTCCCCCGTATGGTGGAGCCGCCTTCCCCCGTATGGTGGAGCCGCCTTCCCCCGTATGGTGGAGCCGCCTTCCCCCGTATGGTGGAGCCGCCTTCCCCCGTATGGTGGAGCCGCCTTCCCCCGTATGGTGGAGCCGCCTTCCCCCGTATGGTGGAGCCGCCTTCCCCCGTATGGTGGAGCCGCCTTCCCCCGTATGGTGGAGCCGCCTTCCCCCGTATGGTGGAGCCGCCTTCCCCCGTATGGTGGAGCCGCCTTCCCCCGTATGGTGGAGCCGCCTTCCCCCGTATGGTGGAGCCGCCTTCCCCCGTATGGTGGAGCCGCCTTCCCCCGTATGGTGGCGCCGCCTTGCCCCCTTCGCATGGTGGAGCCGCCTTGCCCCCTTCGCATGGTGGCGCCGCCTTGCCCCCTTCGCATGGTGGCGCCGCCTTGCCCCCTTCGCATGGTGGCGCCGCCTTGCCCCCTTCGCATGGTGGCGCCGCCTTGCCCCCTTCGCATGGTGGCGCCGCCTTGCCCCCTTCGCATGGTGGCGCCGCCTTGCCCCCTTCGCATGGTGGCGCCGCCTTGCCCCCTTCGCATGGTGGCGCCGCCTTGCCCCCTTCGCATGGTGGCGCTGCCTTGCCCCCTTCGCATGGTGGCGCTGCCTTGCCCCCTTCGCATGGTGGCGCTGCCTTGCCCCCTTCGCATGGTGGCGCTGCCTTGCCCCCTTCGCATGGTGGCGCTGCCTTGCCCCCTTCGCATGGTGGCGCTGCCTTGCCCCCTTCGCATGGTGGCGCTGCCTTGCCCCCTTCGCATGGTGGCGCTGCCTTGCCTTGCCCCCTTCGCATGGTGGCGCTGCCTTGCCCCCTTCGCATGGTGGCGCTGCCTTGCCCCCTTCGCATGGTGGCGCTGCCTTGCCCCCTTCGCATGGTGGCGCTGCCTTGCCCCCTTCGCATGGTGGCGCTGCCTTGCCCCCTTCGCATGGTGGCGCTGCCTTGCCCCCTTCGCATGGTGGCGCTGCCTTGCCCCCTTCGCATGGTGGCGCTGCCTTGCCCCCTTCGCAT